GATCCTAGCAAGCCTCAAATCAATGGTAGGAGCAGCATTCAGACACAAACAGCATATATGCCTCTGCCATATCAGCATTTGTGTAGGATGCCTATGCTATCTTTTTCTGAATCTGACACCACAGAATATGCATTGCATGGCTGGTTGAGTAGATGCCTTAATATGTCACCTAGGTCTGCATGCCACTGGAGAAAATCTTAGTTTGACCAAGAGCCAACGAATGTTTCAAAGAATAGAAACTATAAAGAAATAAAGAAACTATTATTTGCAGTTGCCAACAATAACAATTTAATAATCATTTAACAGATTTACTTTAGTTTTTGGGTTTGTTACATTCCTTAATGCATAAAATATTAAGATTACATTACATTAAACAAACTATTTAAAATATTCATTACACAAGTTCATGGCTCAGTTTAGCACACATATTACAATAAGGAACAATGGATTTTCATTTATTACATTTTTAGGCCTTGATCACTTTTTTTAAAGACGAAATCATAGCAAACCGTAATACCATATAAAATTTAAAAGACTGAAAATGCTCTCATAATATAATTTAAACGCCAGTGGACAAACACCAGTGACCAGCACAACTGTCCACACAAAAGTCCACACTTTTTCAACAAAAATAACAATTTCAATGTGCTGTACAACAAAACACAGTATATAAAAGCATAAAAGGAAACATGCATCATATGAAAAATAAACACATAAAATTGAATCAGAGCAAATTGACATCAAAGCCTTAAACTGACATTAATCAAAAGCCAGAGAAAACAAATAAGATTTGAGAACAGACTTAAAACTAGCTAGTGAAGGAGCAAGTCTCACATTTACAGGCAAACTATTCCAAAGTTTAGGGGCTGCAGCTGAAAAAGCCCGACCACCCTTGGTTTTACAGCGACAACGTGGGACAGTTAAGAGGAGCTGATTACTAGACCTAAGTGCTCTTTGAGGAGAGAAAGGAATCAGAAGGTCACTGATGTATTTTGGTGCAAGACCAGATAAAGCCTTGTACACAAAGACAGCTATTTTAAAATCAATTCTAAACTTTACAGGAAGCCAATGTAAAGATGCTAAAATTGGAGAAATGTGATCCCTCTTTTTTGTTCCAGTAAGAAGCCTCGCTGCAGCATTTTGGACAATTTGCAGACGAGAAATCGCCGTTTGAGGCAGGCCACAATAAAGGGAATTACAGTAATCCAGGCGTGATGTTATGAAAGCATGGATTACAGTCTCCAAATCTTTATGGGGCAACAACTGTTTCAGTTTAGCAATTGGTCTCAGATGGAAGAAGCTGCCCTTTACCACTGTGCTAATTTGTTTCTCAAAGTTGAGTAACGAATCAAATGTAACCCCAAGATTTCTTACATAGGGTTGAAATACTGGCAGAAAGAGACCCTAAATTAAAAAAAAAAAAAAAAAAGTCATGTAGGTTATATTTATTGCAGATATCACATAGCCACTCTCACTAAAACATGTAGATGACAGCATTTCAGACACTGGATACAATAGTTTGTGTAAGCAGATCAGCATAATCCTCAAAGCAAATCACACAGAGATTGAAATTATTCCAGCTGTTCTGTGCATAATCAAACCATGACAATTTAAGGATATGCTCCATAACAAAGATGATCTAACTGAGATGGAACTGAGAAGTTTTCTACAGTCTCAACTGAGTGAAAGGAGCAGTAATGAGCTTTTCCAAGAGCTGATGAGCACCAGGCAGCGTGAGCATGAAACCCTGCAGCAGTCTCTGTGTCGGGTCATAAGACTCAAATAAAAGGTCATTTTTGCTTCAAAACAGAGCAGCATGAAAAGTGAATATGAGCCCCACACAGTTCCGAGTGTGTTTCTGCTCAGAATTCATAAAGGCCTTCTGCCAAAATATAGTGACATCCAAAGTGAATTGAAACCTCTTCACTCTGAAACAGGTGACCAGAATCTCAACGAGGAGAGTAAACGCCAACGCAGACTAGGTCACACCACACACCACGCAACTGAACATTCATGTCACTGTCTATGCTTCAAGCAGATCAACCTGTACAAGAAGAAGAAGACCGTAAAGGTGTCCCTAGTGGTTCAAGTCCCCTTTCTGGTGGGAAGCATAGCCCTTGAACGAACTCTGCTTGGGTTCAATGTCATTGAACAGCTGATTAGGGGACAGACAAGGAATAAAGAACCTGTCTACTATCACTGCACTGCTTAGTGGAGCAATGGAAATAGAAGATGACCAAGCAAGTGTAATTGTGAACTTCATACAGACACAAAGCCCACCTAATGTCCCTGGGACCACTGTCAAAGTCAGGACAGGTCGCACATGTCAAATGCAAAGTGCCTGTAGGATTTGACCTGTCAGACCGAGTTATCCTGTATGAATCCAACCAAGAAAACCTGGAGCTCAATCAGCTTGATCTGGGTGATGGTCTATTAGAAGTTTGGAGAGCACAAGACAGGCTGTTATCCTGCCTCGAGTTACAGCACTTGGAATACAGACAATTGCAAAAAAAGTAGAAACAGACCAGGTAGTTGAAATAGCTAGGGTGGAAGTCAACATTGCGCAACAAGGAGCAGACGGGATTAGCCTTCTCCTAGCAGAGGATACAGACAATTTAATCAGAGGAAACGGTTGAAAATTTGTGCCCACAAGCTTGGTTGAAAATGCTGATGCTTTTCAAATGATTCCCATACCATGACATGCAAGGCATTCCTTGAAGCCTTCTAAGATTAGACTTTAGAGTGACAAACACCCTGGTGTCCATTTCATATCAATAAATTGTAGAAAGCCACAAGATCCAGATGGGATTAGCCCTCTCTGATCCAGTGCAGAGGACAAATTTTATTGGAACTGTTGAACGTGTGTGGCCACAGGCCCGACCTGTTTCGAGGATAGAAGAACTTGAACAGAAGGGCCCGGATAGCTCAGTCGGTAGAGCATCAGACTTTTAATCTGAGGGTCCAGGGTTCAAGTCCCTGTTCGGGCGTCATTCTTGCTGTGTTTGACTTCTTGGGTGGAAAAGGCAAATCTTGGTTGAAATTGCTGACAGCTTCCAAAGGCTGTGAGGATTAGCCTTCCCTGACCTGGAGGACAAACTTTGGAATATCTGATGTTTTCCAAATCATACTGTGCCAATCTAGTGTTCAGAGTGCCTGTTGCGAGGATGATGGTTAAATTATGCTGGTGAAGTTTACTGAGTGATGGGATGGTCAAAAGTCTTCTTGTCTGAAAAAATGCGAACACGCTACTTAAACAGACAATTCAATGCTTCAAACATTCTTAACCCAGGACATTGTTTGACAGGTCCACTGAAACTTGTATTCTGAAAACGTCTTAAGCAGTATTTTCAGGCAATTTTTTTTCAGCAAGCACGATGGACAAACTTTGGAAACATATTACAGTAGGTTGCTAAGTTACTACTGGTAATTAGTTGAAAGCGTTATTACCTGAACAATGTTACCTTTTAGCATGAGGCCAACAAAGACATGGATGGTCATCATAGAGATTCGAGTCCATATGGAAGTCTC